ATTAATATTTTTAAATAAAATGCAAGCAAAAAAGACAGTAATCGAGAGAGTAAAGAAAAAGAGGCTCCAAAATATTTTCATGTCCCCCTCGAAACTTAGAAATATCTTGATACGTGATACGACATAGAAAAAATTGGTTTCTGAGAAACAGAAGTCTATCCTACTATAATTTTCCTATAGTTTTGTCCGTAATCTTTTATTTTTTAAAGAGTTTTAATTATTAGCAGCATTAATTAATTCTTTCACGTTCATATGATCGCCCGATAATAGGCATACTGTCAGGTTTTCGCAAAATGTCAAATCGAATTATCTCTTGCAATATTGGTTAAACAAAGTTAAAAGTTTTTTTATATCTTGTGGGATGTTACCTCAAAAAAATCTACTCCTTCCAATACTAGAATATATCTTTATACAATATATGAAAAATTGTGATTTCCGAAACGCGATAATCTATTCTGTTATAATTATTTTATTTCTCTTTTAATCTTGTTCTTCCGAATTCGAAAGAGTTTTAATCATTAACAGCGTTAATTAATTTTTTCACATACACACATATTTGTAACATTATTTAGATATTAATTAAAAATGGTTATCCGTTTTTTCAAAATCATATAAATTAAAATTATACACACATACTTAATATTTGAACTATCGAATGAGCGGCTCATTGTCAGTCAGGACAGTCTTTTATTGATATAAAGTATAAAGTAATGCAGTGCAATGTCGAGATGACCTTTCAGCATCACGGAAAAGAAGCAACAATACTTGCGAGTATCGATTTAGCATGCCTTTTTTAAGAGAGTGTGTGGATACATATATAATATATATTATATATTATATATAAAATATATCTTTATAGACGAAATATTATATGTAATCATGTATTGTAACGTTAATATTATTGTAAACTTTTTTTTACATATGTGTGTGCGTGCGTGTACGTGCCTATATGTACATATATATATACATATATATATACATATATATTCGCACGTTTATGTAGCCTCCCAGACACATGACACATTTAAATCGCGGCTCGAGAGGCACGAGTATTATTGCGAATAATTTCAAACAAACGATTTGTTGTAATTCTTCCATAACGACGATACAACGTTAACGATTTTTCGCGATGCTGTAAATACGCGAAGGCGAACATTATGTTCCCGAAAACGCTCGTCGCTTCGATGATTATTTTTCTCGGCGTCTCCCATATATATAACACCCATTCCCTTTTCTACGACCCAACGCCTGTAATAAGGGTAACGCAGTGTTAATAAACGGTCTCGCGGTAAAAAGCCGATTGACAATCAAGTGACAATACATTTCGTCGACGATCAGGCCAGCATATCGTTGATGGAGCTTCGTCGACCGTCGTGGTCGTCGTGGAATTCGCAGCAGTCGGCACAACTTCGAAGCTGCGAGGTAGCAGGATAGCATAGAATACGTTCTCTCTGACAGTTTCTCACGAGTAAAGGAATTCATCTCCCCCAAACGTCGCGCGGGATATAATTTATCGCACGTCATTTAAATCGGTCAGACTGGCAAATGCGACAGCCGAGCGAAACGTTTTACAAGAAGAGAAGTAATCTTTTGATAATATGCATTAAGAAAATGTAAGATAAAAATGAAAAGAGAGATTAAGACGGAGTAAAAATAAATTGAACTTCCTTCTAAGCTAAAGAGGAGGGACTCCGCATTAAGAAAATTTTAATTTCATGCTTGATTACTAAGATGTCACAGAAATGTTTGAGAATTTTCTAAGAGACGAGGGGACGGTCTACCTCGACAGTTTCGTTGGGTGTTAATTTCGCGAGAGCGATACCTATAATTTTCGTCAATTCTAGAAATTTAAATCTCACCGCCTCTCTTCATTCGATCGACTTGTTAGATTAAATGGGGCATCCTTGTGCTCGCGAATTTGCTATTTACCTGGCAAGCCCGGGTTCGCGATCTCAAAAGGGCGTAACGTAGGAGTGTCCGGAGGAAGCTCGACGCGATCCGTAACGCGGATTCCGATGCACCTGGTTACCTAAGGAGAACGCGTCTGCGGCCGAGACCGCGCACAAGTCTGGGTGGAGTTACTCGCGGCGTTGTACCGCCTTTGACAAATACTTGGAAACAGGGTAGCAGAAGGAGAGCCGGGGAACGAGAGAGGGTGAATCGACGTCAGGGAACGGAGGAAACGCAGTAGCGGATTATGTACTGGCAATTTGATGTACAATCGGTAAATTGATAATAATAATCAAATTTCGCGTTGCTCAAAGTTTTGCTAATATCCCACCTGAATTTAGCATCTAAAATATATTAATACTTCTTCAAAATTAAATTACGTCCTAGTCTCTCTTAAATAATTAAATTTACATTTTTTTTTCATACATAGCATAACTCGCTTTTTATCATAATTGTCAGTAAATTAATAATGATCAGTATAAATTATATATAATTATATAAAAGGTAGTAAATTAATAATATAATAATAATATTAATTTTACTATTCAAAATTAATTTAAGTTTGAAAATATATATTATATATATTAATGTGTTTAAATTTTTGAAAATATA